TTCTAGCTAAAAAAATTTCAGACTGGCCGCCAGGACTGTCAGGAAACATCCCTCCAAAATCCCAGTCTTCTAGCTTCTCACTTTCCCGAGTTAGCAACTTACCAGGAAGAAACTTTAAAGGGCCCGTACGTAGCTACCACACTTACCCGCGGGCAGGGTTTGAAATCGTTAATATCTACTTGGACGGAGAACATTGCCCTAAGATTTCAGCTTTCGAGCTTCTCAGATCCCCGAGTTGTAGACTTACCTGAAAAAAATTTTGGCGGGCCCGTACGCGAGTACCACGCTTGCCCGGGGGATGGGTTTGAGTGCATTAATACCCAACTGGACTTAAAACATTCCCCTTAGATTTCAGGGTTCTAGCTTCTCAGATCCACGAGTTACGAACTTACCCGAAAAAAATTTTGGTGGGCCCGTACGCGGGTACCACGATTACCCGGGGGATGGGTTTCAGTGCTTTAACATCTACTTAGACGGGGAACATCTCCCTAAGATTTCTGCGTTCTAGCTTCTCAAATCCCCGAGTTATGAACTTACCCCAAAAAACTTTGGTGGGCCCGTACGCGGTTACCACGCGGATGTTGGCGCTCATTTTGGGGATTGGGGCCAGCCTGTACATGTAGATTAAGTTCCCGAAATTTCAGCCCTGCAGCTTTTATAGGTCTTAAGATGAAAGTGCTTGACAGACGCACACACAGGCACACGAACACGTAGACAGCCTCTCGTCAACATGCGTTTTCTGCATTGCATAGCTGCAAAAAACGCATAAAAATTAATCCTTTTTCAACATTTTAAAGAACTTTTTTTAAATGGAAAATTTTACAGTCCGGTGGTACTTTGCTTGTTCAAACAGCATTCAAGCAGTACGTACCGGAAACGTTGCCAGCAATGGTCAGTGTTCGCTTTGATAAATGGGATCGATCAAATCAGACCTTTTGGGTTGTCAATGCCCCGGTATTCTCAGCTGTTGAAAAAGTAAGTTTTTGCGCGGAACCAGATTTTTAGAAAATTTTCTTTCCTACATCCTATTTGCTCGTCTATCGCCGATTTGTTTCTAAATCAAGCTGGTGATGGTTATGGTTCTACTTGTAAAGCAAATTATTTAGTGGTAACAGTGATTTTGCAGTGGTAACTGATTTTGGTATACGTGCAGCGAGCGAGTGGGCAGATGGTGCTAAGATTTGAGGGGTTTGGCTTATCTATGGCCAAAGTGTGGAAGCATCTTAGTTACATCACGTCATCTGTTCGGGGGCAGTTTTGGTTTATTCACGGTAAATGGTGGTTTTATTTGCAAAGATGAAATTCTTTACTCATGTATTTAAAAGGGGGTAAACCAGGGAAAGCGCACTTAACTTAGCAATAGGAAGTTATTATAAAAAAGGATGAAATAAAAAGAAAAAAAGGAAAAAAGAAATGAAAATTAGAAAATTTGTGAGATTATTACAATAGTAAGAAATGTTTCGGTCCATTAAGTCGTGCACATTTGTCAAGTCTGTTTGTTGCGTTCAGGTAAATCTAACATCTGACAACGCCTGAACTAACCTGTTGTCTCTCAGGAGCATATCAAAACGTTGCGGTGCTAGATGGCTAATATGAATTGAATTTTTTCGGAATTTTGTTAAAAATTTTTGCCTGCTTTGTGCAGACTAATTTTTTCAGCTTTTAAAGAAGGACAGAGAGCGAATCAGAAACTTCCCGCGATTACGCTGGAGTGCAGATATGCGTCAGATTCCATGCATTGTATTTTGTCATGCCGATTCTCCATATCGTGCACTTCATCGCGGCGTTCCCGTTAAGTATGATATCCGCATGCACAGGTATCTGTTCGTAATATATTTTTCTTTAAAAAGATGAATAAAATTACCAGTGATTCGTATCCGTGTCAGGACTGAACGTAAAGTTCCACGTCAAAAATGATTTTTAATTTTGACGTGGATAAGTAGTAATTCAGTCTGTGCTTCTCCAGCTGTATGCATCTGAGACCGGTTATTTCGACCAGTGCTGCATTGTCTGGTAGTCATCATCCATTTTGTTTCTATCCAAAAGTTTGTACAATTTAACCTATATAATTACCAAATAAAAAGTAAGATCTCCCGAATGTCTTTTCAATTTTTAGAAGGTGTGGACCTATGAGGATTAGGATCCTTTGAATATTTTGCTCGACTTGTACGATGCTGTAAGTAGTAACGACAAACATTACCACTATGGAATTCATTGATCTTTCGCAGCAGTAAATAAATTTTCGTTGCAGATGTTCAATTTTCCTGGTGGACTTCGGTTGGTTCCAGTGGGTTTCATGCAATAACATCATTGATATTTCTTCCATGAGCAAGGTAAGTCATTTACTTCTGGTGAGGATATTTAGATCTGAAACTTACGGCATCATACGATGCATTTGTTCATCAAATAATACGTTTGAGGAAATATATTTAAGAAAAAAGGCACAGTACAAAATTAATGCACTTATTTACGATGCCTCTGAAGAAGCGGCCACCGCACGGAAACAATTAACATAACCAAAAAAAAAATTAGCTCTCTCAGTTACCCAGAATCGGGCTCAGTAGTTTGTAATTTTGACTTATTATAGAGAAGAGCAAATACAGGGGAAATCAAACCTAATTTTTTTTTTTTGCCCGAATATTACCTATGAAGTACTTATATTTTAGGATGACCCTATCCGAAGTCTGCCGGTATCATTGATTCATTGCAGACAGGATCCATCAGGAACACTTTCTACCTCGGTATTTGTTTGTCCAAATCACTGTTCGTTTTCAGATTTATGTGTATTACTAAAGCATAGAAGATGTATTACTAAATACATATCTCTGCTTATTACTAAACTCAGTTTTTATGGTACACAGTGACGGGAGATGGGGGGAAAGAGTAGGAGAGGGAGGGGAGGGGAGAGCTTAAGGTTGCTTCTCAGCAACACCGATAACTTTACACAACCAGGAGGATCTCAGTGGACAAATGGATAACAAAAGTACAAATGTTGATTTATTTTAAAGAAAAATTGTTTGTAGGATGTTGAGCGCGGAGCGCCGTTCCAGATGATGGTAACAAGTTATGCAGTGAGGGATGTCTATCCCGTGCATCTGCTTGGTGCTTCGAAGAATATCACAAATGGACAGAACTGTGGCTGGCAACCAGGTGTGAACACCACGAATAGAGGTTACTGCTGGTCCACTGTACCGACACTTTCATGTAAGTTTGTGAAGGCGCGAAAAAAAAGATGTTTATTTTAATAATAAACTACGAAGAAGTTCCCTTCCTTAGAAGCATATGTTAGAATTTCATTTTTCAGATGAAGGACCGAAGAAGAATCAAAACCTCATCCATATTCGCATTCTATAAGAGCTGGAACCCTCCGAAAGTAGCCCGATTAGTAGCAAATGCCAATAACAACCTTCCCCCATACTCGATCTCTTTGAGAGGCAGAGACTCAATCGGGAATAGCCCGAAAATAGCAAATGCGAACAGCAGCTATTTACTGGCAATGCTGAGGATTGCTTACAAGCAAACTAATGACTTAAGAGATTTGTATTTGCAACTCTGACATTCGTTTCGCTTTCTGAAAACACTGCGAACTGAGCGATTGTCTTGACAGAAGCATTTGGCAATGATTTAGCCGTTTCAGTGTGTCTTTGGTGTATGTTGAGCATTACCACCTTATCACAAACACTGCCACTCCTAGACCAGGAAGAGCTCCCTGCTGGCCTGATCAATTTTTTATGCGTTTTGTGCTGTGTAACAGCAGTACAAAACGCATATTGTTACGGGGTTGTC